CTTCCTAGCTTTAAAACTAAAATGACCAACTACGTACATTTAAAGCTTTTTATGAGAAAGCAGTTACCAAAAACTAATAAAAATTTCAGAAACGACAGACATTTCCAGACTTTAATATCTGAACATGATATTGCAGTTTTGTTCTATTGAATATTGCTTCAACTACATCAAACTGAAAGATTTCTGTCCAAAAGAGGGCACTGTAATGTGGATTAGCACATAGTGACAAACTGGGAGAAGTCATTTGATTGCAAGTCTCTAAAATACGGAATAATAATACACTAAAAACCTGTACGGAATTTCTTCAGTAATAACAACCAAAGATACAGGAAGCCAGATTGCAAAGGATACAATAGGCAATTCACTGAATAGAAAATGCAAATTACAAATAAGAGATACCAGCCTAACAGAAATACAAATTAACCCAACAACGACATAATGCTGTCTGCTCATTCCATCAAGTTGACACAAATTAGAATGAGAGAACATTCAGTAATGGCAACAGGAAAGCAGGAACCCGCGTGCACTGCCAGTGGGAGTCTCAAATGGTGGGATTTGGCAGTCCTGAGTGAAACTGCCTGTTCTTACATGTGAAATCCAGCAGTTCTACTCCTAACATATAGTCCCAGGAGACTCCCACACAGGTCCGTAGGGATATGCATATGAGGATTAGTGAGTAAAAGAGGGTGGTGGAAAACGTGTACCAGTGAAAATAAACTAGATGTACACAAAGCCAGATGGACAATTGTACCTTCGAGCCCTTAACTTACTTTAAGAGCAGGTTCTACCTGCTGGTTACCTCGCTCTGATCATCAGCCATGTGAGGCATACATTTCTGCAACACTGTTCACAGTGACATACTTACAACATCTATAAAACGAAGAGACTTGAAGGTTGCTCCAGGCGGGCATCCCATTGCAGACAGACAAGGATAATGGCCTTCTTCCAGCACGTACTGATTACCAGTGAAATTTTCTCCATCATATGCAACCCAGCTACAATGGGAGAAACCACACACATGCACAGAGGATGCAATTTGAGTATTTCTATTCAAGAAGTCTGATTTTTAGAGGCAGCCTGCCATAAACAATGCTTGTGGTAAGCAGAGTTCTTTTTTCCAAAATATTTGGATATATTTATTGCATTTCTGCTTGTGGCAAATTAATATTCATAAGTCAGTTAACTTTGCATTTGGGAAATAAACTTTCTCCGTGAAATTCCCCATGTTCTTTCTGACTTCCCCAACCTCCAGCCTTCCTCGCACTTCTCACAGGTGCCACTGTTTGCCCAGCCAGTGGAGCTTCAAGCCCTCAAGTCCTCTTTGAATAATCCTTCTTTAAACTAGTCAATCACCAAGGTATATTGATTTCCTTCCAAAATTTCTCCCACACTCCTCTGTCCTCATTTCTAATACCTCTGCACTGGGCCAGGAATCAAAATACTATAGCAACTTAGACAAGTCACTTTGCCTCTCTGGAGTCAACATTATTCATAAAGTGGTGATCTGCCATGCTCCCCTAGAAGTTTGTGTGTGTTTCTCCTACTTATTTTTTTGAGACAGAATCTAGCTCCATGGTCCAGGCAGGAGTGCAGTGGTGCGATCTCGGCTCACCGCAACCTTCGCCTCCTGGGTTCAAGCGATTCTTCTGCCTCAGCCTCCTGAGTAGCTGGGACTAGGGTCGTGCACCACCATACCCAGCTAATTTTTGTATTTTTAGTAAAGACAGGGTTTCGCCATGTTGCCCCGGCTGATCTCGAATTCCTGATCTCGTGATCCACCCGCCTCGGTCTTCCAAAGTCCTGGGATTACAGGCGTGAGCCACTGCACCAGGTCCTGTTGTTTTTAACCCAACAAATGCCTCTTGAGGATTGTGTGTCAGCTGCTTTTCCATTGCTGGGGATACAGCAAAGAACCAAAGTCCCTGCTATCCTGAAGTTACTACTCTAGTGAGCTGAGACAGATAATTTCAACACGCACACATCTGGTGGTAATAAATGAAGCAGAGCTGGGGATAAAGAGGATCCGGGATGTGGCAGTATGTCCAAAAAACTAGGAAGCTGTACTGTCCATCTATGTATTTGGTTTTGTTTTTTCCTCAGACAGAGTCTTGCTCTGTCGCCCAGGTAGGAGTGCAGTGGCATGATCTGAGCTCACTGCAACCTCCGCCTCCCAAGTAGCTGGGATTACAGGCATGTCACCACACCTGGCTAATTTTTGTATTTTTAGTAGAGATGGGGTTTCACCATATTGGCCAGGCTAGTCTCAAACTCCTGACCTCAAGTGATCCATCCACCTGCCTCCGCCTCCCAAAGTGCTGGGATCACAGGGTGAGCCATCACGCCAGGCCTCCATCTATGTATTTGAATGCAAAGTCAGTGCTTTTCTGCTGTGCAATACTAAAGGACAGGATAGCACTATTTCAACCATAAAGAACCACATGATTACAAGCACGATTACTACTATCATTAAGAGACTTAAATCCACGACACCTCTTGCACAGATTGCTCCAAGGCTTTCCTGACTGAGTTTCCCTGACCTTGTGCTCTCCCCTCTCTATGAAGCTTTTGTACAAGGATTGTTTCAGCATGGCACTTTGAGCCCATTCCCTTTGCCCTGTGTCTTCTGTTTCTCGTGGCAGCCATCTAAACTCAGCGTGCTCAGTTTCGCTTCACCTCCCAGTACAGAGCCCACCCAGCAAGTGGGACTGGTGTGTTCCCTGATCCGTGTGTCTGCCCACTCCGCTCTAGCATGCACTTTCTGCCTCCTTATGCACCGTGCCGATCCTCTCCTTATCTACCTGTAAAAAGAATCCACCTTGGGCGGTACCTTGGGTTAACTAGAGCCTAACACTCCCTTTCTAGATGTTGGAAAGGTAGACACAGTAACGAACCTGCTCTGAATTTCATTACACAATGAGATGATCTTCACCTCCAGCCAACCACAAAGACCCGTGTCCTCTGGCATTTGGCACTCACGTGTCCTAAGGCATGGTTTTGAGCTAAGATGGTGGTTTCACATGGTGCCAAGCAGCTAACAGGCATCACTGAATACTTGCTGATATGTGAATTTTGTTTTACTCCAGTGATTTAGCTCTGCCAGGCCACTGTTTTGCGTACCTGCCTCCTGAAACTCTGCAAGACTTGGTAGAAAGTGAGTCATCAATTTGACTTGTTGTTTCTTCAAAACATTGACTGTGACCTTGAAACTGTGGTTCTGAAAACAAGTGAATCTTTGAAAAAGTAAACAGAAACACATAAAATTATTTTCCTAAACACATTAACTAATTTAGCTTTTGAAATGATAACCCAAACATGACGTGTTAACTTTTGTTACAGTAAACTGGTGTGAATTTTATAAATCCTTTAATTTTCCATGTCTACATTAATGATCAATTAGAAACATGTTAGCTGCACCATTCATGACTATTTAATTCAGAAGCATCAAAGTAAAATGCACAACAGAGGTAACTTTCTGTGGAACACCGTGTTGTTAAGCTGTGAGGTATTTTATTTTATTTTTAAATTTCTTATTGCATTTCAGGTTTTGGGGTACATGAGCAGAACATGCAAGGCAGTTGCATAGGTACACACATGGCAGTGTGTTTTGCTTCCTTTCTCCCCTTCACCCACATTTGGCATTTCTCCCCAGGCTATCCCTCCCCACTGTGAGGTATTTTAAAGCTTTACTGTGGCCAAAAGTCATTGTTCGTCAGTTCTAACATTAACAACAAGCAGTATTTTAGAAAGACATAGTGTAGTTTTCTTCCCTCTCAATGACAGATACTTGCTGACTTCTCAGAATCCTGTAAAAGCCAATAAAGGAGGCTATCGTGGTGTTTGTTCCTCTGTAATTAAGGCTCTGTGAACACTTCCATTAAAACCCTAAGTGTCCATTCCAGTTGATGTTAAGAATCAGCATTCAAAAGGCCTGAGTGAGACCATATAAAACGTCTAGTGCCAACACAGCAAATATGAAAATTCATTTTACCATCACAATAACTAGGTGTTATTGTTTGAAATATTAATCTCAATGTATTAATGTAAACTCTGATTCAATAAAATTCAGCTTTATACAATAAGATCATTTTATAAGAATTATTTAGACATGGGTCAGTACTGTCAACCATTAAAGTAAACTTAAATCTTATTTTTAAAATACAATTATGCTTTCAGGCATAAAAATGAGTAAAACCAACAAAATGCCCAAAATGTCTGTTTTGTTTGTTTGTTTGTTTTTTGAGACAGAGTCTCTCTGTCACCCAGCCTGGCGTGCGGTGGTGCGACCTCGGCTCACTGCAACCCTCTCTGTCACCCAGCCTGGCGTGCGGTGGTGCGACCTCGGCTCACTGCAACCTCTGCCTCCTGGGGTTCAAACAGTTCTCCCGACTCACCCTCCTGAATAGCTGGGATTATAGACACAAACCACCACAGCCAGCTAATTTTTGTGTTTTTAGCAGAGATGGAATTTCACCATGTTGGCCAGGCTGGTCTCAAACTCCTGAGCTCAAGTGATCTGCCCACCTTTGCCTCCCAAAGTGCTGGGATTACAGGCATGAGCCACTGCACCTGGCCCCAAATGTCTGACAGTTTAAACATAGGTTCAGCTTTTCAATGGAAGGCCCCTCACATACTATATAAAAGAATATTTTTAAAGTTACCTGATTTCTTCTCCTTGGGCCAGTGAAAGAATCCTAAAAATTTTTAAAGGACAAAAGGAAATGAATAGAACAGACACACTGAAAAAGTTTTTTTCTTCTAGATTATTAGCAATTACTGCTAAAAATAAACTCAGAATATTTTCCATAGCAATTACTATTACATGAACCAGAAACACACATTAAGAAAATCCAGAATTCAGTTAAATATTCTCATACAAAAATATAACGCCTTACCAAACATATAGGTTGAACAGAAGAGATCTTACAATTTTTGCCTCCCCAGTCCTCAAAACTGGTATAAAATCCTTTATCCAGTACATACTGTTCTCCTGTGAAGTCAGGATTTTCATAGGCTACCCATCTAAGTAACAAAAACAATAACTTGTTAGAGTTCATATTTTACATATAAAATGGTCACATATTTGGATAAATATGCATCATACTGAAACTTTAATTTGTTTTGCTAATTAAAATCTTAATTTTTCTGATTCTCTATTAACCTTTCAAAGCAGATGGGTTTGTCTATAGGAGAAATCAAAATGGTAAGTCAGCAGAGAAAAGAGAACACTCACACACTGCTATGGGAATGTATCAGTTTATTAGCCACTGTGGAAAGCAGTTTGAAGATTTCTCAAATAACTAAAGATAGAACTACTATTGGACCCAGCAATCCCATTACTGGGTATATACCCAGGGGAAAACAAATCATTCTACCAAAAAGACATTCACACATGTATTGTTTACTCCTGCACTATTCACAATAGAAAAATGTGGAATCAACCTAGGTGCTCATCAATTAATGGTGCATTGGATAAAGAAAATGTGGTACATATAAACCATGGAATACTATACAGCCACAAAAAAGAATGAAATCAAGTCCTTTGCAGCAACCTGGATACAGCTGAACGCCACTATCCTAAGCGAATTAACACAAACAGAAAACCAAATGCCAAATACTTATGAGCAAGAACATATACTTATGAGCATGTTCTTGCTCATAAGTGGGAGCTAAACCTTGGTTATGCATGGACATAAAGATAAAAAAAAATAGGACCTGGGAACTACAAAAGGGGGCAGGAGGGAGGGGGGTTTGAAAAACTACCTATTGCATACTGTGCTCACTACTGGGGTGACGGATTCAACCATACCCCAAACTTCAGCAAAGCATGCAATATGCCCACAACACAAACCTGCACATGTACCCCCTGAATCTAAAATAAAAGTTGAAAAAACAATTTAATGTGAAAGAAATGGCAAGCCTCAGAGTATCCTGACATGAACTTTTTGTTGTTCTCACTTTCCAAATCCTATTCCTTGAGAAAGCCACAAAGGTGTGCTGTTTCCCTAACTGTTCTAAGGAAACAAAAACAACGGGACTTTCAAGAAGAACCTAGTTCTTCTAATAAACAATCAATAAACCCTTTCATTCTCAACCTTAAAATACTTTTGCAGAAAGATCTTAGGAAACAGTGTCTGTTGCGCAACAAACCACACTGAAAAAGAAGTTAACAGAATAAATGCTTTTAAAAAATGCAGAACTGAACTAAAATATTGTTTCAAACAGTGTTTCCAACATCACAGAAATATGTAATAAAGTTGAACAAACTCACAGAAATACTAAAAATAAATCTCTTTTGGAAATTTTTATTTCTCTTTTAAGTGATCTACACCCAGATTGAAAATCAACAAAACCAATTTAATCATGCTATTTCGTATGCAAAGATAAAGTCCTTGACGGGAAAAGGTTTTTCAGTCCTGTTATATTAAAGAGATACTTAATACTGTTAAAGACATTAAGTATCTCCTCAATTAATTCATCACTCTCATGATCCTCTCAAAGCTTAAAGGAATAACATCTTTCAGATATTATTAGAGTGATCAGAACTTTGCAAAATGTTTCTACATCTGTTACCACATTTAATCTTCTAGGGAGGTACTGGTGTTGCCATTTTACAGATGGGAAAAACCTAAGACACAGGGAAGTGAATTCATTTACTAAGTGCCAGGAACTAGACTGGCACTAGATAGATATACAACGATGAAAATGACAAAATCCCTGTCCTCCAAAGTTCACATTTGGGTAAGAAGCATCACATGGAATTATTTGTAGGTATTTGTTTTGAATGGGAAATCACTTGTCCAGGGTGACACAATCAACTGTTAGCCAGAACATGAGTGAACCTGCCTGTCCTGAGGCTCACCAGGCTCTCCCAAAGTGCCATGTGCCCTGTAAAGTTCCCTTACTATCCAAAGGGCTGATTTCAGCAAAAATGAAAGTACAGTCATTATTAGAATATGGACAGCCATCAAGGAGAAAAAGAAGACTACAAAAATCTCCAGTGAGAAGTAGCTATTACAGCCAACATCTGTGCACTCACCCCCGGCCATCCAAATGGAGAAGCTGCTATAACTACAGCCCCTATCACCCCAACCCCCTGATTTCAGAACCTCGCTAGCAATTTTTAAAAACTGTTTTCTTTTTAATTATTATTATTATTTTTTTAGTAGAGTCAAGATTTCACTACGTTGGCCAGGCTGGTCTCGAACCTCTGACTTCAAGTGACCCGCCCGCCTCAACCTCGTAAAGTGCTAGGATTACAGGCTTAAGCCAGCATACCTAGCCTAAAAACCTATTCATTATCATTGAGAGGTGAGGAGATAGGGGACTTGGCTCTACCTGCAGCCATGACATTAACTTTCAGATAACTTTGAAGAAGTCACTTAACCTTTGTGAAAGTTCATTTTGTTCATTTTGTTTTGTGTTTTGAGATGGAGTCTTGCTCTGTCACCAGACTGGAGTGCAATGGTGCGATCTCAGCTCACTGCAACCTCCACCTCCCAGGTTCAAGCAATTCTCTTGCTTCAGTCTCCCGAGTAGCTGGGACTACAGGTGCGTGCCACCATGCCCACCAAATTTTTGTATTTTTAGTAGAGAAAGGGTTTTACCATGTTGGCTAGGATGCTCTTGATCTCTTGACCTCGTGATCCACCTGCCTTGGCCTCCCAAAGTGCTGGGATTACAGGCATGAGCTACCGCGCCTGGCTGAAAGTTTGAATTTTCAAGTGTAAGTATGGGAGTAGGCCAAGGTCCCCGGGCTGACCAGGTGATGCTGTCCAGCACACCAGTACCCACCTGTGCTGCCTCTGCCCACAGGGCCTTAGGCTTTACCCTCAGCATGAAGGAAAGCAAAAGCAAAGCCAGAGCAGGAGCACTGCTATGTAGAAAGAGTGTCTGCACATCAAGAAAATCTACTTCACAAAAACTAGAACTTAAAAAAAAAAAAAAATGAACAATTAGAGAAGAAGAGCCACAAGGAAAAAATTGTTCTCAGCAGGGCTCCGGGTCCATAACAAGTTAGAAATCAGAGGGGTAAAGGCCTTTCTGTTTAACTTCAAGGTTTGGAGGGGAAGAAGACAGTGAGGAGGGAGACTGAATGCCAAGGAGAGAAAGCGGCAACATGGGTACCATATTTTTCTGTAAAACTCAACTACTTGTAAGTAAATACCCAACACCCAGCTAAGCCTATCTCTAATTCACTGAAGCCAGAAAACAATTTATTAAGATGTTACTTGAACTGACAGCAGTGTTGTTTTCCCTCCAAGATACCTGATGAATCACCCATGAATACGGTGGGGAGTGGAGGAGGGGAGAAACCTCAAAACCCATATCTGAGATTCTCTGCTCTATGATCCGCATCTGCTTACAGCTTATACTTGAGGCTCTTCAGAAAATCCCTCACTGTCCTTGTGCAGATGTATTCCGTACACATGAATCAACACTCCTCTGTTCAAAGACTGGTAAGGAGATGGGGGAAAGGCGTGTACAAGTACTAGCAGGTCCCAGCCTGGTGGAATAATTGCTCAGAAGGTAAGGGCAGCCTGGTAAACCTGCCCTTCTGTGGAAGGCCGAAGCAAAACGAATTTAAAACAACGCTTTTTGTTTTTATCTGAACACTAGAAATATTCCATTTTGCTCCTAGTTTTAAAAAACGAGCCCAGTTTCCACTATTTGAGCAAGAATATAGCATAGAATGAGAAACTGATAAGCAGAGAGTTTCTTTCAATATTTCCAGTAAGAAATCAAAACCTGAAAACCTCAGCTGTTGGTTTCATGGGCATCCTTCCTGAAGGCTGTTCTCTGTTTCAGGGCTAATGATGAGTTTACTACCCAGGGGATTTATTACCCATGTGAAGGTGAGCCTGCTGGGAGATACTTTCATGGAACAAGAACTTCAGAAGAGTTTTTTCCCCGACATTGAGTGCCATACTAAGAAATAAAGAAGCAAGCTAAAATACTCTATTACCAAGAAAAATAAAGCCATTAAAATACAATAATTTTCCTTTGAAACTATGAAAAGTGAATAGTCTTCCTCCACCATCTTGGCACATCTCAGCCTTCCTATCCTATATTCCTCAAGCCTATCTGCAATGCTGCCTCCTCCACAGTCTTCCTCCGTGTCCAGACTGGAAATTACTCTCTGCTGTGGATTCCCAGAGCATTTAATCTCCACCTCTTTTGTAGCAATTATGTTTTAAATAAATATTGTAACTTTTTTGAGGACATCATACAATGCTTTGCACATAATAGACCTCAATAAATAATCGTCAAATGACAAATTGAATGAAATACAAGGAAGCAGCTGGCCCTGGTAAATACAAAAGCCATTCCACATGCAGAGTTTAAAAGGAAGTGTGTGTGTGTGTGCGCGCGCGCACGTGCGTGCATGCGTGTGTGTCCATGTATGTGTATGTACCTCCCTTCAACTTCCCCCTTCTACCAAAACTTAACTGCTATAGTCGGAAAAAAAGCCTAAGCCAGGAAATGTAATTAGAAATGACTAAAAACAGAAACATAATAGCAGCAAAGGAAACTGATTTCAAGTAAGCAAGTCCTGGGTAAAAAGGAAAGGAGATTGGCTGAAGGCACAGTAACTCTACCTGTGTTAACAGTATCACCTACAAAATGCCTAAAAGAATTCTACCCAGCATCCTTTGCCTCCTCTCCCAGGGAGGATGACTGGGCTCTGACTAATAGAACCAACACATCTGGTGAGTATCAAAATGTACTACTGTTTGACCAGACTGAGTCAGTCACTATGTTTTACTCCTAAATAATTAGCTTTAAAGGCAATCTAAAATACTGCACGGCCCTAGCAATATTTTAGGTGACTTGTACCATGTATTTCAGATGACTTCCAGCTTTTACAAACAGGCTACTGATTCTAAAATGTTAGGGCTCCAGCATAGTACCCAATAGTAGGCATTTCCCACTAAGAATGGAAGACCCAGGAATCACTGATACTCTGCCAAAATGGCACTGCATGCAACAGCCTAGACAAGAATTTGGTGAACAAGGATTTTTTTTTTTACTCCATTTACTGAAAATTAAGCACATTCATCAACTTTTATTACATTGTACACGAAATTCAAATATCCAGGGCTATTGTGGGAGGCCCCATGAGACACAATGGGGTTGAGAGTAGGATGATTCAAATAGTCTATGTCACTATGACAATGAAAACCTAACACCAAAACTTTCACCATAACCAATGCTACATTATTTCATATACCTATTGAAGCATACTCTCACTTATAACAGAATAGACGTTAGCCTGGATTATAAAAATAATTATGTGACTCCTTATAACAGCCATCTGCTGGATTTGCCCATCTGGATCTATCTCCCCACTCTTTCTGATATTCCTGGGTAACCACCAACCCGTCATATCTAAGTGGCTTCTATGGGATAGACCCTACATCTCAGCTCTAGGTATGGACACATAACCCACACACAGCCATCTCCATGGCTACATTGATTGGTTCAGGCATGTGCACATGACCCAAGCCTAGGAAAGCAAAGTCACACATGCGACTTGTGAGAAAAGGAGAAGCTGTTTCCACTGCAAGAAATGACCTGTCGCCAGGCATGGTAGCTCATGCCTGTAATCTCAGCACTTGGAGAGGCTGAGGCGAGCAGATTATTTGAGCTCAGGAGTTCAAGACCAGCCTGGGCAACATGGCAAAACCCCGTCTCTAAAAAAATACAAAAATTAGCCAGGCGTGGTGGTGCGTATCTGTAGTCCCAGCTACTTGGGAGGTTGAAGCAGGAGAATCGCTTGAACCTGGGAGGCGGAGGTTACAGTGAGCCGAGATGTCACCACTGCACATCAGCCTGGGTGACAGAGTAAAATTCCACCTCAAAAAAAAAAGTTAAAACAAAAGCCAGATGTGGCCAAAGGCCAGAAGATTCAAAGGGCCTACCTATAGTCAAGTCAACACAGAAAAAAGCCCAGTCAAGACACAGAGACCAAGTTCTGATGACAGTGTTGATCCCCTGCATCCAGCCATGCCTGAAGCAAAATCTTCTCCAGGACTTTTTAGTTACTTAAACCAGTAAGTTCCATTTTAAGCCCTTAAGCCAATTTAGCTTGGCTTGCAGTCACTTTCATCCCAAAGAATCTTGATTAAACATCTTTCAATAAAAACCTGCTTTACCACTAATAAAACAGTCAACTGCTAACTTCAAGTACACTGAACAATTATTTTTATGTCAAACTAATGGAGAAGAAATATACTGGAAAAGGTGTAGGACCACAGGAAAATCTAATGGGACTTTGACCCAGCCTCAGGTTTATGTTAGATTACTATTATTATTTGATTCCCCTCATTTAAAAAAGTTATGATCTTTCTATGCAGAATGAGAAGGGAAGCAAATCTACAGATTTCTATCATGATACCCAAAAGCCTACTCCAAACATTATATTACACGTAAAAAGAAGAGACTGTGAGAAAGAGTTTTAAAGAGAGTTAACGAAAATATCATGCAACCACTATTAAATGACTGATGTAATGTTAAGCTGTTGAGATATTTGTGTATTGAGTGCCTGCTCTGTCATAGACTCTTACCAGTTTAACACAAGCCAAGGGAAAACCATGTTTAAAATTCCAATTGGATCATTTCACTTACACTCCACTCAGTACATTAATAGACTGTGTCTTCACTCCATATCCGGTCTCCTTTAAATTAGCAACAATTCCCAATACATCAATACTGGAACCTTTGGATCCAAAGTTTTTTTCACTGTACATTATCATGTGAGCATTTGAAAAATCCTATTGAGAAAAAAAAATAAAAATTCAAAGGCTAGTCATTTATTATCTAAAAAAGACCACATATTAGCCATTAGTTTTTCCTTAACTTACACCTAATATAGGTCGTAAAGACTGAAGCTCTCCATTGTAACCTCCCCAGTCTTTCCAGTCCCGGTATTCTCCTTCTTCTAGCAAATACTGATGACCTGTAAATCCAGGCTTCTCATACGCAACCCAACTACAACACAAAGAACATGATGAGAAGTAATTTTCAGACACGTTACAATGTTTTCAAGGTACATATCCATTTCATTCAAAAATACAAATAGTTATAAAGCTAGACATGAACTTCCGCATTACCATTGGAATTCTCTAAAATTTAGAGTAACAGAATGGCCCCAAGAAAATAACCTAAGAGACATACATCAGAGTTGTATAAAGGAGGGAAGGGGAGTGTGTGTGTGAGTGCTGTGTATGTGTGTGTGTTTAATAAGGACTGACTCAAAACCTCAGCAAGTAAAACTGGATAAACTCACTTCAAATAGGAACAAAACTATTGTGAATACTTGGCGATTTACAAGAGCAATTTTAGTGTACACTTCTATGGGAATTGTGTAAGATCTATAAAATTCAAAAACATAAAAATTAGAAAGTGAACTATCAAACCACTCAATAGCTTGGAAATAATTCTAATAAGCAAGGTTTTAGATTTAGTCAATTTGAACAGACCAATGTATCAGCCTTGCTTGGTGGACTGATTCCCACACTGGTCCCTCAAACTACTTTTTTTTTTTTTTTTTATGAGACAGAGTCTTGCTCTGTTGCATAGGCTGGCGTGCAGCTCACTGCAACCTCCACCTCCCGGGTTTAAGCAATTCTCCTGCCTCAGCCTCCCGAGTAACTGGGATTACAGGCATGCGCCACCACACCCAGCTAATTTTGTATTTTTAGTAGAGACAGTGTTTCTCCGTGTTGGTCAGGCTGTCTTGAACTCCCAACCTCAGGTGATCTGCCCACCCTGGCCTCCCAAAGGGCTGAGATTACAGGCATGAGCCACCGTGCCTGGCCTCAAACTGCTTTCTTAAATCCAGTCACTACAGGCTGAGGAGAACATGGACATGACTGTCAAAATTCACCATACTATAGAATCAGAAATGTTGTTTTTAAGGGGGAAAGGACACATTTGTTACTTAATATTTAGAAAAAAAAAAAGAGAGAGAGAAATCCTAACAAGTCACCCATGTACTTACACGCCTCTTAGAACTTTCATAGACCCCACAGATGTAAACAGCAAATGATCGCCTCCAGTTGCCTCTTCTGTTCCACCTCCTTCCATGACAAAACTACACATTTCTGTTTCCAGTTCCATACATTTTCCTTCAAAGAAGGGCTTTTCATAAATAACTACCTATAATAGAAATAAGATATACCAGTAATTTATAAGAAGTATCCCAACAGTTTAACATTAAATGAGTCATTTAATGTCACTAAGTCCTGAAACAGAAATTAAAATTTTCTGGCCAGGCATAGTGGCTCATGCCTATAATCCCAGCACTTTGGGAGGCTGAGTCAGGTGGATCAGTTAAGGTCAGGAGTTCGAGACCAGCCTGGCCAATATGGTACAACCTTGTCTCTACTAAAAATACAAAAATTAGCTGGGCGTGGCGATGCACTCCTGTAATCTCAGCTACTCAGGAGGCTGAAGCAGGAGAACCACTTGAATCCAGGAGGCAGAGGGTTAAGTGAGCCGAGATCATGTCACTGCACTCCAGCCTGGGCGACAGAGTGAGAATCTGTCTCTAATAAACAAAATAAAGTGTTCTAATCATATTTTTAAAAATTTACTAGGCCAGGTACAGTGGCTCATACTTGTAATTCCAGCACTTTGGGAGGCCAAGGCAGGAGGATCACTTGAGCTCAGGAGTTTGAGACCAACCTGGGCAACATAGCGAAACCTCGTCTCTGATAAAAAGAAAAAAAGCTGGGTGCGGTGGTACATGTCTATAATCCCAGCTATTCAGGTGACAAGGCAAGAGGATGGCTTGAGGCGGAGAAATCAAGGCTGCAGTCAGCCATGATGGCGCCACTGTACTCCAGCCTGGGTGACGGAGCAAGTCCTGGTCTCCGAAAAAAAAACACTAACTAAATAATGGCATCTGATAAGATAGTAAAAAGAAAAATAAAAAGGCTTTTTTCTTTTCCTAATGTGGTATAGCTCAAAACCATGGTTCAAAACAGTTTTAAAATAATTGGTTTTTGTGTATGTATATATACGCACACATCTGTATCATAGATATATTATATATATATATATATATCTGATATTTAGAACCACATAGAAGGAACCAGAAGATTCTAAAGTAGTGTTAAAAATGAAAAAAATATATAGTATGTGGCATCGATGTGGGAATTGGGAAGAGTAGAAAGGGTATTTTGGAACAGGGAGAGCTTGTCTTGAAAGGTTTTTTCCTGGCTAACTGGCAAGTAGCAAC